ATTGTTAAGATTTTAAAAATAAAATTAAAAAAAAAATTTTATAAAATTTTTAAAAAAATACCGAATACCGCCGGTATACCGAAAATGTTGAGACGGTATTTTCCGGTATCGGTATTTTTCCGGTATACCGATACCGATACCGTACCGGTCAATTTTTGTAAAAAACGGTATTTTTCGGTATCGGTATTTTTTCGGTATACCGATACCGAATACCGGAAAAGGTCATTTACCGAACACTACTAGAGATGAGTTGAATTATTAATATCCCGGTAGATTATTAAAATAGCTGAGTGAGGTTTTAAACTCGAAAATTTCTATATTTCTTGCCAAAAATTAACCGATTTTACGACATTTTAGAAAAAGAAAACAGAAATTTTTAAAAATTCCCCAAAATAAACCTGATATTTAGCAAAAACTCAAATCGGAAAAGAGGATTTTTAAAATTTGGATTAACCGAAACAGAGTGTATAGACTAATACAGTCATACTTAAAAAATATAAATTATTTAATAATAATTTGTTCAGCAAATACAGTGAGGTTAAAAAATATTAAATATACAATGGAAGTAATATTTAACATTTTTTATTTGGCTTGAATAAATTTTATTTCTTTTGTCAAAAAAATGCAAAGTGCACATGATTTACTTATTCTCTTTCTAATATAAATTGAATTTTTAAATTAATCCAATTTCTAAGAAAATTCGTGAAAAAAGAATGGCGCGCAGAAGAAAGGAAATGTAAAAAAAGTACTTAAAAGAAAGAAAAGTTTTGACTGAATTAGTAAAAAAAAGTAAAAGTATAAAAGAATTTCTAGTACTTTTTTTTACTTTAAAAAAATATTTTTTCTTTGTTCACACGCATTTAAAATATTTAAAATAAATAAATATTATGGGAAATTTGGTTATTATACATACATATAAACACTTAATTCGTCACAAAAAATTTTAAAAACGAAACAAAAAATTATCTCGATAATTCTTTGAAATATTAGAAAGGACAAATATTTTAAAAATTATTTTGTAAATTTCGAATATAAATTCTAAAAATTTGAAAAGTTTGGCTTAATCTTTTAGAAAAAAAATTTTTACAACATTAGGTATATGCAATAGGACCTCAGTTAAGTTACCCACACTTTTTATTTTGGTTGACAAGAGCTGACTTAGCAGTAACCCCTTTAAGGTATCACTCATAATCTAGTATATACTCCATTAATTAGACCCTCCTTCAATTAATTACCTAGCTTCTATTAGTTACCCCCCTCCCTCCTCAACGAGAGGTCAAAATAATAATTACTCAGTGTAATTAATAGAGTATATCCGATAAGTAAATAACTCAGATCCAAGAATTTATTTTATGTAAGGTCAAATATATGGATAAGAAAACGTATTACACGGCTTCTGTTCTAATCCTTATTTTTCCTTCAATTTACATATTTTCTAAAAAAGTTTAAAAAGATTATTTTTTATTTAAGTTTAGCTATTTAAATAAAAATAGAAGGAAACGGAAGTATTTTTTTATTTCAACAAAAAAGAATTTTAAATTTACACGAATTAATTTTTAATTCGTGTAAAATAAAAAATTCATGAAAATACCAAAAATGTATTCATCGTTTATCTATTAAAATAAAAAAGAACCAAATATAGAGCTTAAACGGCTTTTCAGGCAATTTAAGGGGATGTAATATTTATTTGCCTAATTTAAAATGAAAAAAACCAAAATTGCCTTATCTAAAATAAATGGAAAAAAATTTTTTTAGAAGGCGCTAACGAAGACACAAACACTTTTCTTTAAAATAGAAAGGGAGACGCGCATAAAAAATTTTTTTAACTAACTAACCGACCAAAGGTTATTTAGGGTATTTATTTAGCTATTTATTTTAACCTCTTCTTTTTAAAGATAATTTCCAGATAAATGCTTTTTTTAATTTAAATATTTTCTGGAAAATTAAAAAAAGACTAAAAATAGAAAGAATGATTGTTAGTTTAGTTTGACTTTAATTTTGTTAAATAAATACAAAGAATTGTTTCAAAATTAATTTTAAGAAAATATTTTTTTCCAAATTTAATTAAAATAATTAAAAATATTATTTTTATTTAATGGAAAAAATTTTTATTTAAAAGAAAATTGAAAACAGGCTTGGTAATGGATAGGATATGGATACAGATAGGTTCAAAATGCCTGCGGATTTCCGTCTGTATCCGCCGTAAATATCCGGATACGGATACCAAAATCATGTTCATTACCAAGTCAGGTAGAAAATATGATTCAGAAAATATAAATTTAAATTTCCTTCCAACATGTCTAAAAACTTTAAAAAATATTTTAAAAAAAGTTTTGACGGAACAAAATATTTATTTTTCAATTCTTTCATAAATTAACTAAAATTTATTTTTTTATTTTAAAATCCCCATAAAAATAATATTTTGAAAACAAATCTTTAAAAATGTTTTAAAAAAATAAATTGCAAATTATTCCCAAAAAACTTCCAAAAAATAATTTAATATTTTCTTAAAATGGAAATATTTAGCTACTACTTATTTCGGTTTGAAAAAATTTTTTAACCAAAATATCTAAATTTGTTTAAATATTTAAAAGATAATTATGGAAAATGTTTTTAAAATTATTTTTAAATTTATTTAGATTTTTTTACTTGACATTTAAAATTTGAAAATAATTTCTAAAATACCGTAAATATGAAATAATGTCCATCTCTCGAATAATTACCCCCTCCCTTTTAATTACCCCCTTCAGAGAGAGGTTGAAAAAATAATGTTACTTTTCCGTTAATCGACCGCAAACTGAGTACCAGTCGATTTTTGAACAGCTATAAATTTTTGATGCTTGATCCAATACAAATGAATTTTATATTATTCGAAAGCCCTCGATAAACTCTATCTTTTACCCAACTGTATGGATCAGGTCTGATCACTCATATAAAAGTTCTAACCCGATAATAGTGAAAAACAACGATTTATTGCACTTATTGACTTGTAACATTGTATGACCTGATCCATACAGTTGGGTAAAAGATAGAGCTTATCGAGGGCTTTCGAATGATATAAAATTCATTTGTATTGGATCAAGCATCAAAAATGATTATTTATCTTTTTTATTTTTCCTTATCTTGGGTTTCGTTTAAAAAATAATCGAAATTTGCAAAATTAACACGAGAAAAATTTTTCAATAAAATTTTGCTTTTTAAATTTTAATAATTTTAAAAGAAATATCTTTTTTTAATATTCAAATGACGAACTATAAAGATTACTTCGAGCAAAGTTTGTAAAAATTTTAATTTAAATAACCGGAAAGAACAGATGTTTGGAAAAGAAAAAAGGAAATAAAATTTATTTCTAAATTTTTTTTATTTAAAAATAATTATTTAAAAAAATATTTTACAAAATTTTAATTAAAAAAGGTTAGAGTAGACTTGCATGTTTTAATAAAAATTTTTTTAATTGGAAGAAAGAATGTCTGAAAAAAATTTTGTTCGGAAATTATGTCTAGAGAAAATTATTTTGAATAAAAAAATTTTTTTTAATTATAGAAATAAAACAATATTTAATTTAAAAAATTCTCTCACAGATTTTTAATATTTTAAAAAATTTTAGAATATATTAATGTCTGAAATTTAAAGAAAACAAAAAGAATTTAGTAAATAAAATAATTTTTTTCTAAATTGTTTGCGGAAGATTGTTTATCAAATTTTTGAATAAATTTAAGGAAATTTAACAAATATGTATACCGTAAATATCCTAATAGAAGCTCATCCCTAAGATAAGCCCGCTCGATGAGGGGTAATGAAAAATAGGAGCCCCGAGCTTCTATTAGGATATTTAAGATAATTATTTAAAACAAATTGGTTTTGTTTATTATTCAGGACGTTTCTTAATTCTAATTCTTTCTTAAAAAACATTTTTTAATTTAAAGAGGATTTATTTATTTATATTATATGCAGGATATATTGCAAATTAATTTAGCTATAAATATTAATTTGTTTATTTTCTAATATTTTTTAGAATATTATTTAGCAGCATTATGACATTTAAAATAAAAAAAAATATTTTTTTAATAATAATTTATTTATAAGAAGGAAATTGCGCAAATAAATTTATATGTAGGGGTAGACAAAATATAAACATAACTACGAGGTCATTTAATTTAGAACACGAGGTTTAAATAAATTATTTTAAAAAAGGGGGGAATTTTTGTTGTCTTCAGAAAGGAAAGGCTTCATTATTTTAAAAAAATTAAATGAAAAGGTTAAAAAACAAAAAGATGAAGCTAAAAATACACTTAAATGTTGTGAACATTAATGTTTGGTATTTTTAATAATTTTGAATTTTCTGGTTTCTCTATAAAGATTGGCAAATATCCAAGGTAAACAGAACATAAAAAGTAAAAATAGCTGAATTACTTTTTATTTTTTTATCAGTCAAATTTTTATGTAAGAGATCGGAAAAATGAAGAAAAATTAAAAATTATCAAACTGTCCTATGTATTCTTGATTATTTATGAATAAACTAAAAATTTTTTTAATTACTTTATGTAAATAAAATTAAAAATTAATAATTTTATTCGTCTATTTAGGTATATTTAAAACTAAAAGTTTAAATAAAATTTAATTAAATTCAATTACAAATAATACATATTAGAAATAAAAATTTTTAAAATATCAAAACTAATATTTTAACGATTGAAAAAACTTGCAAAAAATTATTTCTCAACAAATGTTAAATAAATAATGTTTATGTACATATTTCTTAAAGCTAGTAAAACAAATTTTGAAATATGATATTTATAGCAGGATTAATAAAAATTAAATGTTTTTTTTTGCTTTTTGACAATCTTACAATTGTCTATGTATATTGACATTTTAAATTCTCGTAAAAGAAAATCCTTAAAATCTTCGAGTAATTAAAGTTAATAAAATTAAAAAAAATAAAATTAAAATATTTTTAACAAAATAAATAAACAAAAAATATGTATTAAAACAAAAAAATATCAAATTTTTGAAATTAATTTATTATTATTATTTTTAAGTCTTTCTCTGAGTAATCTTCTTAATATTTTGCCTGATGGACTTTTTGGAATTTTATCGATAAATTCAACTCCTCCCTTTAAATGTTTATAATAGACAGCTTTAACTGAAAATTAAATTTTAAATAGTATTTGTTTTAATGAAGGGCAGTGAACGAGAAAATGTTAAGTGGAAGTACAAAACGTTTAATTTATTAAGTACACAGTGGGAAAATTTTTTTCTTCAAAAAAGAAGAAAAAAATAAGTACGAATTCGTACTTACCATATTTTTTCGATTAATTCCCCTCCCTTGAATGATTCCCCATGCTACAGATGTGTTGAAAAAATAATCCACCAGGGGAATTAATCGAGTAAATACTGTATATCTTTTGCAAAACAAATACGAATCACAGCCCTGATTTTAATTATTAATTAATTTACTTTTAACAAATTCTTGAACATCTTTCTCTGAAAGAGAGCTCCACTCTTTTTTAACAACAAATCCAAAAGGTAATTCCCCAGACATAGGATCTGATATTCCAACAACAGCACAATCTTCAATATCTGGATGTGAAAGAAGTAAATCTTCTAGTTCTGCAGGGGCTACCTTTAAATTAATTTTTAAATAAAATATCTTAGAAAAATCTCTTAGAAATTCTATTCTTCGAAAATTTAACAATATTTTAGATAAATTCTAAAATTATGAATTCAACCCTAAAAGTTGTCATGATTTAGTTACCATACTTAAATATCAGGGCTGGGCTTATTTCGCACTTTCGCGTTTCGCATCTTTCGCATTCTCGCATTTTTTAGCGCGAAAAGTTTCGCATTTCGCATTTCGCTTTTTATTTTTAGATTTCGCCCAGCCCTGTTAAATATGTATTTGTGTTAAAAATTAACGAATTGTGGAGGTTGATTGAAACCTTTGATTTTATTTTCCTAATCAACAACGATGCCATTAGGCTAGAAGCATGTTTATGTTTAGCTACTAGTATTAAAATTTTTGAAAACACGGGAATTCTTTCTCCCTGAAAAGGGGATGAGCTTTAAAAATACTATATCTGTTGAATCATTTTACCTGAAGTCCATTAACTTTTATCAATTCTTTCAATCTATCAAGTACAGTAATAAATCCTTCATTATCAACAAAAACAACATCACTTTTAAGATTTTCCAAAACTTACTCGTTCATTTGGAGGTACATTCTCCTGTTGTTTGTATCTATTAAGTAAATTAGATCCTTTCTTTCCCAAAGCAGCATATCCAATAACAGTCATATGTCTAGTGCTGGTCAATCTCAAATACAAATAGTCATCAATTACAAGCTTTTGCATGAAACGTTGACAATCGGTATCAGTGAGACCACTCCCCAGACCGAAAAAAGGCAAACGTCCGTGACTGTTATCATCCATCTTAAATAATTTAAATAATTCTTTAAAATTAATTTAAAAAAATAACCGTTTGTTTAACACGTTTTTTAGTTAAACATCCTCGAAAGATATCAGCCATGTAGCTTATACAAGTATTACGAAGCATTCTCATTGAGGCGAAGACAGCGAGCGCTTCCCCAGTAAAATCATAAAGTTTTAAAGGTTGTTTTCCATCCATTAAAGCTTCGCAAATTGTACAGGGACCAGCGGTTGCAATACATTGCTCGGCACTGTATTTCTTTAAAAAAATATTTAAACATAAATTTAAAAAAAAATATGCATGAAAATAATGCCCCTATATGAAAGAAATGTTTCAACAAACCAAAAAAGTTTTCAGTACCTTTTAAAAAGGCAACAAAAATTGCCCAATTTTAACATTACTGAACTCTCCATAAGTTTTTCATAAAGTTACTTAAAGGACACAGCGAGAAAACGGTTTCGGACCTAGGCTGGGCGCAATTGGAAAAGAAATTTCCGCAGGCGCAATTTTAAAATCCGTAAACACAATCCGCAAGTCAAAAAACATCAATTTCAGACAATCCGTAATTGAGCCCAGCCCTGTTTCGGACTACATTTAAAAGCCAAAACTATGAAAAAAGAAACTCGGCGTGATAAAATTAAACTTCGTTACTCCAAAAAAATAAAATAAAATAATTAACCTCGTCAAAAGCCGCAGCCAGCTTCTTTCGTCTACATTCAGCCACATTCTCACAATAACGAAGAACATTTTTCAAAGAGCCTTCCTTCATAGCCATAACATTTGGCGGAGGTTTTGGAATATCTTCTTTTATCAGACGAAGTACACGTAAATGGTCATTAAAGCTATAAAGAAGAGTACAATGGGAAAGTTGGCCATCTGTTCCAGCTAAAGCACATTGCCTTTCGTATTGCTCCAAAGATTGAGGTAATGTGTGGTGAATAACAAAACGGACATTTGCTTTGTTGACTGTCTTGCCAAAAGCTAAAAAGAAAAAATTTCGGACATTGCAAAAAAGATTTCCGGGCTATTCCGGTGTTGATTAAAAGACACCAAAAAAGTACTATCATTTATTGTTAGATCAAATAAGGTTGAGGTTGCAAAAAAATTAAGAAAAAATAAGCGCAAAAATTTTTGGTACTAGATATTGAGAAAATAGACATAAATAATAGCAAGGGCGTAGCTAGGAGGTCGATTTCAGGGGACTAAATGGGTTATGCGCCAAAATTTTTGCGTTTACTTTGGCGTCCCAACACAAATTTTGTGTACATTTATTTTTATCTTTTCACGCCGCAGGCGTAAATTTTGAGAATTTTGCGGGTTGTAGTCGTAAAAAATTCACTTTTCTGCTCATTTCCCTTCTAAAATTTTTTCACTTTCCTTATTTCAGGAGGGGGGCTATAGCCCCAGAAGCTCCCTGGCTACGCCGTTGATGAATAAAACCAGAGCAGAAACATCTGGAATTTTTCTTATAAATCTAGCGGATCAATTTCTAAAATATGGAAGGAATTCCCAGAAAAATTTTTTTATTTGCACACTGACCACAAATACAAACCCGTATCATCAACTTTTTTTGGTTGATTGTAAATTAATAAAAATTAGAAAACCTATAGTCGCACAAAGAATTTTAACTTCATTCTTTTCCCAACGTCGTTGTGTTTCATTACGAACTGAATCAGGCAAATCCATATGATAGGGGAGAGCACCTCCAACCATATCTGTAACCGTGTCACATTCTTTTCTTTAAAACAATTTAAAAAATATAAAAATGAATTATCTAAAAATACTTTGACATGCAGAAGATTATTCCAGATCCATTTGGATAAATTCCTTGAAAATGCGAAATAATTCTGCGAAATTGCAACGAGGATTTCGGCAATACATCAAAAACGACGTTTGGACGAATAAAAGAAAGCCTAAAAATTTTTATTAAAATTTTTAGAAAGGCTCAAAAATTAATGGAAAATTAAAAACTTTAGGGCTCTAAAAGGTAATTTTGCATTTCCTAAACAGAGGTCGGTAAAAGGGAGATTGGCAATCTTTTAGTTTATTGGTCCCCAGAAAAGACCCGAATTCGACCAAACAGAATTCGGGTTAAAAATTCAAATTGAAATTTTAGGGATAATCTAATAAGAGGTTAAAGTTGATCTAAATCGAGCCTGGGTTCAAAATGTACAAAGTCCTAGCACAGTCGATTACCTATCAGAAAACCTCAAAAATATCGAAAGAATATTTCTTGCTCGTTTTTTTCCAGGGACCAGTAAATTAGAAGATTACTGGGAGATTCCTAAATTTTATTTAGGAAATAAACGATGATTAAAAGAGAAAATAATGAAATTATATCAGAAAAAGCCTAAAAGAATAATACTCACCAAAATCCAGATTTGTTGCCTTGCTCGCTGAGAACAACTAAAATACAAGCATTAATTTTTGTAAAACTTTATTTAAAATTAATACATTGATCCATAGCTTCATGTTCAATTTCGCTCTTCGGTTCTACCAATTTTGAAATTTCCGAAGTAGACGGTGCAAGTGATGTGACAGAAAATGAAGATTTTGCTTCAATAGGAGGTGGAGATAAAGAAACAATATAAGGTGGAATTGGAGGCCTTTTAAAAGGTATAGAAGGCGGAGATGAAGGAGTAATGAAAGCTTTTGAAGGTATTTTTGCAGTTGGAGGTGGAGATGAAGAAATTGTATAAATTGGAGGTTTTATTGAAATTTGAGGTTGAGCAAGAGGACGAGGTGGAGGTACGAAATTGACAGTTCGGAAGGTTGAAGAGTTGTCGTTGATTTTTGTTCGTGTACTGCTTGGGGTTGTGTAGGTATTTTTTGGGTTGTTTATAGTTGCCTTGTTGTTGTTATTGAGGTTTTGATGAAAATTGTTGTTTTGATGAAGATTTTGTGTTGTTGTAGAAATATCGAAGTCAAAATTGGTATCGAAAGAATTACAACCAGCATTATGAGATTGGCAACAGTGAAAGGCAGGAAATTTAACTTTAAAATCCGGCTCAACAAATGTGTATTGACCAATTACATGTTTTTTAGGAAAAGGAGGATAAAATTTATCAGCCATTACTTTAATTGAAGTTCCGACGAAAATTAAATTAAAAAATTATTTAACCTGAAAAATATTTATATTAAACTTTGGTAATAGTTCGGTTTATTCCACCCATTTCTACTGAATCCCCCCTGTCCATTTTAATTTAACATTTGAAAGAGTTTTTTGATCTGGGTCGAATGATACTATGTTCGGTTAGATTCGGTGACTCTGAACACAATTATGAAGCAGAATCCTCGCTTAACAAACTTTTGTGACGCTGTAAGCGGTCAAAACAAAACATTTACTTATATTGATTTAAGTCAGAGTTCATTGATTTTAGTGCCATTCTTACTCAGCTCGAAAAGCTCTTTCAAATGATATCAAGCAAACAAGAGCAAAATGGTCAGGGAGACAGTAAAAAGGGGTGGAATAACACGAACTATTACCAAACCTTTCAAAAAAAATTTTACAAAATAAATATAGATTTTTTAAACAAAATTCAACGAAAGTACAAGTTCAGGAATTGTCCAAAAAAAGAAAAAATTAAGAAAATTAAAAATTTTGAAAAAATCATATTGCCAAATTTATATTCGCAGGGACGCCCAAGTAGGCGCGCGCCATAACAACGCAAAACGTTAACTAGTTGAAAGATTTCCGGCCCTTATCAATTTTAGTAACATTCTCTTTAGCTCATAGAGAGGAATCGTTTAATACTAAATTTGTCAAGATTGAGAAATTTAGAAGCAAGTTATGGTTTTGCACCGTTATGGCCGCGCGCCTATTTGGGCCGTACCCATTTTGAGTCAGCAATTTGAGTCCTACTTTTTCTGTCTGAAATAGAGTTCGGTAAATCGTGTTTGTGGGGTCCCGCATGCGGGTTTTTTTCTAAAAATCTTTGCGGGACAGGATCACGCGGGATAAATCCCAATCCCGCAAAATCCTGCAATTCAAAAAGTGCGGGATTGCGGGACGGGCTCTCGCAAAATCCTTCGCGGTATCCCGTCCCGCACCGACCTCTAGTCTAAAATATAAAATTTCATTTATTTTTCTAGAAATTCTTAATAATTCAACATGATAGATCAAGAAAAATTACAAGAGATTTTGCTTTCTAAAGGTTTGAATAAAATACTAATTTTTGTTTTATGTTTATAATTTCAGATCAACAAAAAATTTCTGATTTTTTGTTAAAATTGAGAGATCAACGACGTTTAGATGAATTATTTCAGTCAATTCTTGAACTTTTTCAAAAATCTTCTGTCTCCGAATTTTCAATTTCCCAATTAATTTTGAATGAATTTGTTGTGTATTTTCGTGAACTTAGCCCCCTTGTTTCATTTGAATACTCCAAACTTTTATTACAATTATTAAATTCCTTGGGAAATGATAAAAAAATGTTGAAAAGGTTTAAATTTTTATTTTATTTTTTAAATTTTCATTTAGAAGTCTAGTTGTTGTTCTTCGTTTGTTAATTGAAAACATTCCACTTTTGAGTGCCAGGCAGACGCGAGATTTAATTAAAAGTGATCAAATGATTGAAATATGTTCTCGCTTTTGGAATTTAGGTAATTTTGTTTATTTGGTAATATTGAACCGGACAGACCCCTTTTTCCTCCCCAATTTTTTCCCTATATTTTTGCAAATTGGTCAGACTTTTTCCTTTCCATCCAAATTGCCTTTCTATTTTTTGCCTACAATCAAATAAAAAGGATTATTTAATTTTATACAGGTGCAAATACATGCCAAAAAACAAGTAAACGGAGGGTATCAATGCAGAAGGTCGAAACTCAGAAGGTCGACCTCAGATATTCGGGCGGATAAAGGGTATTCGACCGGATTAGGAAGGATGTCTGATGTGAGAATTAATGTCGATAAAGAAGGATTAGTGCGGATTATGCTGGATTTGGTTGGATTAAGGACGACCTTCTGGGGCGGACCCAAAGGGAAGATTACTTTTTTGGTATTTAACAAGTACCTATGAGTTTTGAGAAGGATGGAAGAAAGGAAAATGTCTGACCATTTTGCAAAAATATAGGGGAAAAATTGAAGAGGAAAAAGGGGGTCTGTCCAGTTCAATATTTCCGTTTATTTTTTCAAAATTTATTTTTAATTTAAAAGAAGAACAGGGAATTGCTGCAAACCTTACCTTTTGTTTATTTCAAATAATTATTTTTGAATTAAATTATTTTCTTAGTGTTAGCACAGAAAAAACTCAAAAACAATTAATTAAAGAATTAACTTTTATTTGGACGAAATTAATTGAAAAAATAAATATTCAGGTTTAAAATTATTTTTTTCTTTCCAAAAAATTTTTTCAGAATTTTGAACGTTGCCCATTTCTTCAGATTTGTACTGTTATTTCATTAAATATTGCGTCTACTTTAGAGAAAGCAGAAACAATTAATAATATTTGTAGAATTATATTTAGACGAATTCGAAAAAATTATTTATTTGAAAAATGTACGGAAATTATTCAAAAAGATGTTTGTGTGGATAATGGAAATAATGAGGAATTAAATATTGATGAGGCTCAAAATAATATTTTATGCAGTTACAATTCTGTGGTAATTTTTTTATTTTTATTATTTAGTTCACCCAACATTTTGGAGTGAGGGGCAAAACACGGTCTAGAGAATACTTTTAAAAATCAGAATTTAATAGAATTATTTTTAAATGCTGGTTTTTATAAAAATTATGATTTAAAAAATATTTTAATTTTTAAAAGTATTCCGCGTTTTGGTCATTCCATGTTCTGTCCATTCCTGTTATGGGTAGATAGTGTTTTGTCTGTTACGTGTTTTGGTGTATAGTCTGTATTTTGGTCGTTCCGTATTTTGTCTTTTCCATGTTTTGTCTGACCGTGTTTTGTCGTTCCTTTTTTCGTCCATTCCGTGTTCAAATTATTTATAAATATTTTCCCACTACGTGTAGAGGGATATTTGTTGAAATTTTCTCATTTAATATTTTCTCGAAATTTCTGAATATATTTTTTCTTTCCCGAACTTTTCAATTAATTAAAAATCCATTTTCAATTATTTTTTAGTTATTTGATTTGCTTTTCCGCAATCTTGCTTCTTTTTGGCCCATTTGCCCCAGCAAATTACACATTCCTGTTATGCAATTTCTAGTCACATTTTCTCAAAAGTATTTTTAAATTTAATTTTTTAATTTATTTTTAACAAATTTAGTAAAAACTCCCTCAAATATTTCCTTTTTTGTCTCGCAAAAAATCCGTCTATTCGTTTTGGAGAATTTCGGCAATCTATTGTCGAAATTAATAAATTTCGACTTAAAATAAATTCGAAAAGACGTAAAATTTTAATATTTATTCTCAAAGTTTAAAAGTTTTAATAATTTTTTTGGGGGAAGATTTTTATTCTTAAAATTAAAAGTGAAGAGGAAAAAGATATTTTTGGGGCATTAGAATTTGCTTTTAAAGAAGGGTGAAAACAAGAATTGTTTTAAAAGTATGATTAAGTTGGAATATCAAAAATATGAATTATTTGGGAAGAAACATGAAAAGAATCATCGGAAAGATTATGAAATAATAATAAAAATAGAAATTGGAATTTTGTTAAAAAATATTAAAAATATAATATTATGAAACATCATTAAGTCGGGCCAGTCCCGACACTCCGGCGGAAACAAAATTTGTAGACAGAAATTAGAATTAAGCGAAAGAGTATTGGTAGGATGCAGTTGATTAGTAGAAGTAAGGAAATTATTGTTGCAATAAAAATTAAGATGTGCAGAGGGTTAAAAAAGAAAGAAAGCGTGTCCAATATGCTCGGTAAATTTATTTCTCCGAATTTTGTTTCATTTGTTTTTGTTTTTATCCAAATATCTGCTTTCTCCGCGCTCGCCAGGGCTAATGTTCCAACTAACTGAAAATTAAAGTTTGAACTGGGACAATGGATTTCACAATTTTCATCGATATTAGAATGTTCTAAATGGACTGAAATAATTCTCTTGGTTCCTTTAGGATCACAAATCACAACAGTTTTTAAGCTAGGACATGTTATATACCCTAGGTTTTTCCCAAAATCTGTTTTGCATTGTAATGTTAATATTGCCCCTCTAACGCATTTGTAACAGCCTTCTATTGACGCGGATTGGACTTTACAACTATTTAATTCAATTTCTGTGCGCAAAAACATTCCTTCAATTCTAACTTCCATTTTTGCGGAAGCTAGGTCAGGATTAAAAATTACTTCAGAGTTTTTTGTTTTAAAAACGAGACCGTTGTGTTCAAAGGGTAAAGTTTGGTCCCCTCTTAATAATTGGGATATTTTTCTCCCATCTTGACAAGTACACGCGGCTATATCGTTGGCCAAATGGCAATCGCAGGTTTTATACGCTATACTACATTTTATAAATTCTCTCGCCTCTTGCGCTGTTTTACAATAAAATTTCCTAAGATTATGCTCTTTTTCAAAATCGATAATGGCTGTAGCGCGATTATTGGCTATAAAAGGTTTGACTAGTGTAGGAGTGGGAGGGATGTTTAAATCATTTAAAACCATTTTTAATTTATTCCATTCTTTCATAAATTGGGGTATTAAATTTACTTCAAAACTTTCGCTTATAAATTCTCCCTTTCCGTCATTTTTAGTTAATGAAACATTTAAGTTTAATGCGATATCCCACTTTTCACATTCAAAGACTTCAAAAATTTCGTTTCCTATAGGTTTTGCATAGTACCTATAAAAAGTGCATGGAGCTGTAGCATAGAAACATCCTGTCATTGGCCAATTATTCATACCTTCGACACAACCTGTAATCCCCGGAAAGTTTTGGACTGCTTCTAATTCTAATATTGTTTCATTTACTTTAATTTCCGCGCATTTATTACCTTTACAACTTCCTGTTTCTGGGCATCTCTTAACACTCATTACATTCATTTCATATTCTCTTGTAAAAAATTTTGTTTTCTTTGCGCAGCGTGCTTCCGCGTTTAATATTTTTAAATTTATCATTCCTGCTGGTCTGTTAGCGTGATCCTCAAATAATATTTTGATTTCTTGTTCCCTAGGTAGAAAATTTAACTCAATCACTTTTTCAAATAAGCATGTCCGCTCTTTATTTTTATTTACAACACATTTTTCTTCCTGAGCGGTAATAGTGGTTAATTGAAGACTTTCGGGAATGGTCAAAAATATTAATACTATTGTTAATTTTATCGGATTTATTTCCCTTTTGGCTTTTATTAATTTTAGTTCACTTTCCTCATTTTTGCCCCGATTACTCTTTATATTATATTTTCTATAAATCCATCGCATTAATCGAAATTTAAAATTTAATAAGCAAAATGCCCCTCTGAATCCAAACACAATCACACGAAAAACAGTCATTATTATTGAAAAGAATATATAGAAAATTATTGCGAACAATATTATAGCAGTTTTTGAAGCACATTGTGGATTTTTAAGCAATTCTATACAAATATTACATTTTATAATTTCACAAATTACTTTAGCTTCACAATTTATCCCAGATTCTTTTACTAATTCTCCGTATCTCCAAAATTTAATTTTAATTTCATAATTTGAAACCAATATTTCTTTTGATAATGGAATTAATTCTTCCAATTTTGGGTGGGGAAAGAGCGCGCATCGATCATTTTTTACACATATCTCTACACTTCCTATCTCTTCTTGTGAAAATATTTTTACTCCCTCTTTGTGACATTCAACATGACATTTTTCACATTTTAAATTTTCTTTTCTTTCAAGAAATCCCCTAACTTTTATTTTTACACGACCCCAAGCCTTCAAAGCTATATTTCCATTATCATTTACTAGGAGAGAAATTTCATTTCCTGGGTAATAACAAAATTTTGTTCCATGTAGCTCACAGATATGGTCTAAACAATATTTAGGGGAGCCTGTAATGGGTCCGGTTCCTATACATTCATATTCTTCGGGTAGTGCTTGTTTTTCTTCAATTTTCATTTCCTTTATTATATGGAGAGAATTGTCAAATAATTGTATTTGATTCACTTCTATTAATTTTAGGGGCCCACAATTTTCAATTTTCTCACATTTTTCTAAAGCCAAACTTTCCAAAATCTTTTGAACATTTTTATTTTTTATTGTTGAATTTTTAGTACTGGGGCCATTATAAAAGGAACATGTTTCGGTCCATTGTGGGCATTTACAAGGTACATTACAGTTTTCAGACTCAAAATGTTCCTTTTTAGAATAATCACAATTAATTATTTCCCAACAAAAATTCCCATCGGGTGCTTTCATTATTTTTAACCCGTTGGTTGCGCACGTTTGCGACTTGACTAAAACATTCCTTTGTCCTTTTTGGCACGGTGCTCCAACGCTTCTCCCCATTAATATAAAAAGAATTAGTACCAGAGACATTAAAAAGACAGAAGTGTTCAGGAATTTATTTTTTGAATTTTTGCGGGAATTTTGTTTTTTCGAGTTTTGGCATTTTGTATTCATCTTTTCTGGCGACTTATAAATATCCGCAATTAACCTATTCATATCATTTCTGTTTCTTTCCGCTAATATTTTTAAATTGTCATAATCTTGTTTTAAATTATTATTTTCCAATTTTAATTTATTTATTTCCTCTTTTAATGGTTCAATTAAATTTATTTTATTTTTTATCCCATATATTTCTTCAGTTATTGACTCCAATTTACTTTCAATTTCGGGTATCTCTTTTATTTCCTCTTGTATTTTACTAGCTAAACTCTGCCCTTCTTTTTCCCAATTAAATTTTTGTTTATTTGTAAATATTCTATTTTTATTTGGATCAATTCTTTCAATTTTTGGCGGGGTGAAATTTCGTCTTTCGTAAAGGAATGGGCAAAGATTCATTTCTATTTCACTTGACACGTCACTTTCTAAATCGCTCTCTTTATAATTTATCTTTTTTCTAGTCCTTAATTTCATTTCGTGCATTTTAGTCCCTATTTTTTGATTTTTATCAATTATTTTTTCTTCGCATTCGGCCTTAAGTTCGAGTGGATACAACAAATCTATGGCCCTAGTTAATATTTTTCCTTTACATAGAACTTTGGCTACTCTTACAATATTGTCTTTTCCTTTTATTGTTTCAATTATTTTGGCTAAATTCCATAAATTTTTTGGCAATGATTTATCCTGTAAAAGAACAATTTCTCCCTTTTCAGGGACATAATTTTTTCCTTTATTGTGTTTGTATTTGTCGGCCCGCTCGCGTAGATATTGCAAGTACTCTTTATTCCAACGCTTCCAAAACATTTCAACCGCTTCTCTAGAATTTTTCCATATGCGGGTTAATTTTTCTTCTGGTTTCTCTCTTTCACAACTTCTTTCTCTTTCAAAATCTATATCAAAGTTTTCTTTATTTCGATTAGGTTGAATTGCTTTCATTGGGGTAAGAACTTCGACATTATCCCCTGGTTCATTGTACACATAAGTCAGAGGCCTAGAATTGACTACCTTTTTTACTTCAGCCAAAAGCGTTCGGAATTCTTCAGACTCTAATAATCGTTTACCAGTCGCAGCTTTCATTGCTGGTTTTACTATTCCAATAATTCGCTCATAAAATGCACCAAATCGAGGAGAAAGAGACGGGATAAATGTCCATTCAATAGTTTCTTTTGTTGAGAACTTTGTTATTTCTTTTACAACTTTTGATGTTAATTTTAGTTGGGTCCCATTATCAGAAAGAATTTTTGTGGGTTTCCCATATTCAGCAAAAAATCGGCGTAAAGCCATTATACAATTATTAGCTGTAAGGTCATTGACCATTTCCAAATGTATGGCCCGTGTCGATTCACAAACAAAAATAACAACATAAATTTTTCCGATTTCTTTATTTGCTTTTCGAATATTGTATGGGCCAAAATAGTCTATGCCACAAAATTGAAATGGATTAGATTTATTTACTCTTTCTTTCGGTAATGGAGCCATTGGGGGAATTTCAAATGC